CACAAACATGGAAAGATTTTGTTTTACGCACCCCCCAGGGGGGAGGGCAGGCAGCCCCCACCCCACCAGCTCTCCTCACCGAGGGGCTCAGGCAGCCCGGCCTGTCCACCGCCCAGGCAGGTGCCCACTACTGGTACCTCTCTTCTCCATGGGTGAACCTCTTGAAATGTCCCCTCCTTGACGGGGTAGACTAGTGGGGGAGCGGGGGAGGGAAGCACCACTCAACCTATGAAAAGAGGAAGAAGGGAAAGACCTCAGGACTCTCCATTCTGCCAACACCTCAGTCCCCCAGTTGCAGGGGGCCGCCATTAAATAATGGGGCATTTATTTTATCCATGTCCTTAGTTTTCAGTCCTGATGGCCAACAACTGGCAAATTTCCATTCAACATCCTTCTATGTTAACAACTTAAAGAGCAGTGTGGGCTGGACACTTGGGGCTTTCCAAATATGCCTGGAGTGCAGTCAGTAGGGTCCCAGAGTGAACATGGCCCCTGGAGAGGCAGGAGACACCATGGCAGTAATTATCCTCTGTCCCCTAGCTTTGCTGTGACTCTGAACAGGGGCTGCTCTGACAAATTCAACTAAATTGGTAGAGTAAAGGGAGAAATACTTTTAAAAATGCTTGTCAGTGGGAAAAGCTAGCCTCCTTTTCCTCATTATCAGCACAACAGAAATAAACAAGTATCAAGAACCCACTATATAATTTGGGCTCAGTTCCAAGGTCAAAGAATCTTTGGAACTACCTCTGCCTGCCACCAGGATATTTACTGAAAGAACAAAAAGATAGGAAATCCTGCAACCCATCCAAATTACAGTGCCCAAACCCACACAAATTTAAATAGGCAGAGGAATAGAAGTATTATTAATTGAATAATTTAAGTTTTTACATCTAGCCTATTTTGTCAAATTTATTTAAATTATTTAACTAAGTTCTATTCACTTGAATAGAATTGCAATTTCCTGTGACCTATTATGAGAATAGTTTGTCCCTTTTTAATCAGTGCATGTTGTAAACGTGTGCAATTTTATAGAATTTGGAGCATAGTTTTAACACTCTAGGAATTTATGATTACTATAATTTTGCTTTTATGACACATTATTGGTGATAATTGGTATTATGCAAAATATTTGATAGAAAACCAATTATTAAATTTCTATAAGAATGTATGAGCTTCATAATAATCTACTTAGGATATGATTTCTTCAGATATATCAGGGTAAAAAATATAATCTGTGGATTTAAAGATTTATCCTTTATTTAAAATCTCACTTTTTAAAAAATTGACATACAGTTGATTTACAATTTGTGTAAATTTCTGGTGTACAGCATAGTGATTCAGTAGTACATATATATGTATATATTCTTTTTCGTTATAAACTATTACAAGGTATAAAATCTGACTTTGTAAAGGGACCAGACATTTTTTCATTTGAGTATATATATTCTTAAAATACTTAACAAAAACCAGTGATGCTTTAAACTTTAAAGAGTAGGGATGGCTATGTCACATCTCCTAGATTCAGGGCAGCATTGGGAGACCTCAAAGCCCTTCTGGAATGTGACCACCCTCATTCACTCCTGCCTAGTGAGCCCTGCCTTGTGTGGGGGCCTTTTTGGAAAGGTGCGTTCTTAGTAAGACTTGTCGGTTAAAGCATGGGTCCCAGGGTCCCTGACCCACGGCCCGTGACTCTGATGGGCACCTTTTCTGATCTGAGCCCTGCCTGGGCATCTGAGGGAAAAGCAAAAACCTAAAGATTCTGTTCATCTCTGGTGGGTTCTGCAGAACTGTGGAATGTGAGGGGGGTGCTGGGGGACCCTAGAACAAACCCTCTGCTCTGTGGAAGAGCCCCTCCTGCAGTCTCTGAGAGGGCCCAGAGCAGTGTCTCTGGGCAGGGAGGTACCAGCCCATGCCAGGCAGAGCTCAGTCATCTCACTGTGGATTTGGCCAAGGATTGGCGGAAGCTCTGACAGGCCCCCAGGGGGAACAGTCCCACATGCAGCCTGACCCCGAATATCAGAAAGCCTTAAGAATATGCCTCCTCACCAAGCCACATAATGCCTTCTGCTCCCAGATTCCTCTCTGAAGCCGGCACCTGGACGGTCCACGTGCACTTACAAGGCTGTAGTACCTCCTGCAAGTTAAGCTAGACTCTAGGGCCCCACACTGTGTCGTCCCCCTCTCCCACATGACCCTGTGTTCTCCCAGGCCCCTCCCTGCCTTCCTAAGGTCTTTCCTCCTGAGATTGTCTTGCCTGGGCAATGGAGCCATCCCTCCCTGCTGCCCCTCCCCACCTCTGAGGCCTACAGAGATCTCTGAACTTGAGCTGGCTGGCTGGCTGCCTCCCTCCTTAGGCAGAGGGTCTGCCACCATGTGCACTCTCACCGATGTAAGTCTCTGCTAGAGTTCTGAGCCCCTCGAGAGCCCAGCCATGCCTCAGCCTCTGAGGACCACTGTCATGGACGGCAGCAGTGATGAAGCAGTCAACTTGCGTGCTGATACTGGTTGATCAAGACAGACTTCTGTCCTGTCCTTCCTCTCCCCTGCTGGGCAAGGAGAGCCTCCACACCCAAGCAAAGCTTAGCATGGAACTTGAGTGTTTTACCAAGCACATGCTTATTGCCAGCAGGGCCTGGTGGGAGTCGAGGGAGGGGATGAGAGGGAGTTCGCATACGGTTCTGAGGAAGTAAAACTACCTCCACCCTCCCACTTTAGCTAAACAATTAAGCGCAATTTTCTTCCTCCATCCACTATCTTAACTCTTAAAAGTCAACGTCCCAAAGACTCTTGATGTCTCCTGTGACACTGGCAGTCTGTGCCACAAGTCTGCATGTATGCCCATTCTGCAGATGTGTAAACAGGTTCTCACAGATTAGCTCGCTAGAAGTCGTACAGCTACCAAGTGGCAGAGACAAGATTGAAACCAGCTTTGCTGGATTCCCAAGAGAAGGCTTTCCCTGCACCTGTCTTCATCCTCTGGGACCCCGGCCTCCCATTTCCTTACCAGTCACATCCTTCTCTCTACCCAGTGATACTCTGAATATTGTGGCATCAGATCACCGGCCTTTCACCACGAAGCAGAAAGCTATGGGCAAGGAGGACTTCACCAAAATCCCACACGGCGTGACGGGTGTGCAGGACCGCATGAGTGTCATCTGGGAGAGAGGAGTGGTATGTTCCTGCGCCCCTCCCTGCTCTGGGCCTCAGAAGAATTTTCACCCTTAGGAGGCCTGGGTCAACCACAGCTCCTGTTTCACCCAAAAACAAAACGAAAAAGTCTTCTATTTTTTCCTGATCATAAAGGTAATAAGACCTAGCATAAAAATTTGGAAAATACAGGAAAGTATTAGAAAAAAAATCCTCACGATACCATACTGAGAAATTATTAATATTTTGATATATTTCTTTCTAGTTTTCTGCATGTACTGTACATTATTTTAATAACTGTGTTCATCTTTTTTTCATATAACAGTATATCTTGCGTGTCTTTACATATCAGTAAAAATTCTTTAGAAACATCTTTTTTAATGTCTAAATAATATTTCCGCCAAAGGAAATTCCATACTTTGTTAATCCTTCCCTGATGTTTGGAACTTTCAGCTGTTTCAAATTGTTGCACTTACAAATAATGTTGCAGAGAATCTCTTTGCTTGGTAGTATATGCCAGCATTTTTTTAGTGGAGGCACTGGGGATTGAACCGAGGACCTCGCACATGCTAAACATGTACACTACCACTGAGCAATACCCTCCTCCCCTATGTGCCAGCATTTCTAGTCATTTTCTGAGGACAGATTCCTAGAAGTGTATTTCTGGGCCAAAGAATATAAAGAATTTTAAGGCTCTTGATACATTTTGTCCAGCTGCCTTTCAGTAAAGATAGAGACTGGGACTTCCTTTGAATACCACCTGTTCTGCCCATGAAGAATAAGTAGTTTTTGTCTTGACCTATCACGGATTAGATGAAGCACAGAGTATGAGCCCAAAGAGATTTGAAATCTTCAGGGTTAAGCCCCCAGTTCAGGGAAGGCCCATGAGGCAGCTCAGGAATCCTCTGTGAAGGGAGCCCACGGTGCTCTCGTGGGTGGGGTGATAAGATGCTTTTCCAGCACAGAATATATGTCCCTCTGCGGATGAAGGGAAGTTCCTGATTTATCCATATTGAGCATATGAGTAGAGATGGTTTTGCAAACAGGAGGTAGATTTGCACCAGGAAAGCAGCCTTTTGGAACAAGAGCCAACTCACCACTGTTGCTGGAAGGAAATAGAAGTAAGCAAGTGTAGGGAACCAAGCCATGTGGGTTGGTTCATCTGAGAAGATGCCCGTAACATTGTCCTTCTCAGCACCATTGTTCTGACTGACTAAAAGGCCACACGCCAGGGTCAAGGGTGACTGGGGGTTTGAGGTACACACACACGGCCTTGGTTGACCTGACACTTTTGCATTATCTCAGGTTGGAGGAAAGATGGATGAGAACCGTTTTGTGGCTGTTACCAGCTCCAACGCAGCGAAGATTCTCAACCTGTATCCCTGCAAAGGCCGCATCATCCCTGGAGCCGATGCCGACGTGGTGGTGTGGGACCCAGAAGCCACAAAGTAAAGCCTGCTGCTAGTCTCCAGGGCTAGAGGGACTTGGGATTTTAAGGAACTTGTATTACAGAACTCCAAAAGCACATCATCTTTGCACTACTCCTAGCAGAGAGCAGTATGACCTGAGGTGTGTTCAATTCAACAGATATTTGAGGGCCTGCCATGGTTCAAGCACTAGGAACACCACAGTGAACAAGATGGTCTTCAGACCCGCTGTAGTGCAGCTCCATGTGCACAGCACTTTACAGTTTTTCAAAGCTGCATCACATCAGTGGTCTCACTTGCTTTCATACAGTCCCAAGAAGTACTCAAGCCTAGATTTCTTATTTCAATTTTACTGTTGAAGAAACTAAGACCAGAGAGTAGAGAGACTCCCCACGTCACACAGCTAATAAGTGGCTGAACCAGACAGATATCCTGACACTCAGTTATAGACTCTCCCACCAACACTCTGCTTCTCTCGTTGAGGGAGTGTGTCCCCTTCAGTGCACAGCACTTGACACCCATGGCATTAATAACACAGGTTGAGTGAATCAGTGAAGTGCATCAGGAGTTATCAAGTCATAGGATACAGAGCATCATCTTTTCTGAGAGATTTGGGCAGGGGAGATGGAAATCGTTTTTTAATATTAAATTTCATTCACTCAACAAATATCTGTTAAGTGCCACCAACTGCTGAGCACTTTTCTAGGTGCATAAGCTGGCAATGAATAAGATAGACAAAAGTGTGCTGGGATTCTGAAGATAAAAAGTTCAGTTGCAAGGAAAGTTCACCCTGTGCACCACCACACACCGCCTTGCCAGATCCCCATGCTGCTTCTCCGTTAGGGCACTTGAGAAGCCGTGTTCTGCATCCAGGCTGGGGCTGGTCCCTGTTGCTGTGGCAATGTGGCTGTTAGTGACTGCTGCTGGTGCAAAGACAGCTAGAATTTAGCCCAGTGTGTTAGTCTTCTAGGGCTGCCATAACAATACCACAGACAGGAGGCTTAAACAATAGACATTTATTTTCTTACAATTCTGGAGGCTAGAAGTCCAAGATCAAGGTGTCAACAGAGTTGATTTCATTCTGAGGCCTCTCTCCTTGGCTTGTAGATGGCCGTCTTCTCCCTCTGTCTTCACATGGTATTTTCTTTGTGCACTTCTGATGTCTCAATTTCCTCTTATAAGGACACTCATCTGATTGGATTAAGACTCATCTATATGACCTCATTTTACTTTAATTAGCTTTTAAAGGCCTTATCTCCAAATACAGTCACATTTGAGGTACTGGGGGCTAGGAGTTCAATATATAAATTTGGGGTTGGGGAACACAACTCATCCTAGCCTTTGGAGGTCATCCCTTCCCACTGAATATCTTCCCTTTTCACTGAGCATCATCCTTTCCCACTGGTCATCATCCATTCCCACCGATCATCATCCCTTCCCACCGATCATCATCCCTTCCTACTGAGCACTGTCCCTTCCCACTGTGGTGTGCATCACCTTTTCCCACTGAGCATCATCCCTTCCCACTAAGCACCTCCCTTCCATTGAGCTGTGACATCTTTACTTCCTCTCAGAGTGTTCTCTCCTGCCACTCCTCCCACCAGGACCATCTCGGCCAGCACCCAGGTGCAGGGAGGAGACTTCAACCTGTATGAGAATATGCGCTGCCATGGTGTCCCGCTGGTCACCATCAGTCGGGGACGGGTCGTGTACGAGAATGGTGTCTTCATGTGTGCTGAAGGCACTGGCAAGTTCTGTCCCCTGAGGTCCTTCCCAGACACTGTCTACAAGAAGCTGGTCCAGAGAGAAAAGGTAAGTGAGGGAGGGGGAAGAAGACGTGTGGGAAGAGGTTGACATGATATCTTATATGACTTTTAAATCTCAAAGATGCTCTCACTCTGTTTTCCCGTGGAATCCTATTGCCTAGATAGTCACTTTGGGAACAATCAAAATAATAGAAAAGGAGCACCTGTAATAAAGTAAAATTTATTGGGAAGGGTCCTCAGCTCCCCAGCCCTGGGCTGACCCAAAACCAGAAGGAAGGAAGGTTCCATCAGGTTGGGCGGTGGGCAGACTGGTCTTCCCACTCTCTCCAGGCTCCCCAGCCAAGACTTCATCCTGCCTCTGGTCCTCAGTGGAGCCTCTCTGCCAAAAGTTCATTCATAAAAACCACGACTTTCTTCCCTAAACTATGGTCCAGCTCTTCCATATTGAGAAGGGAGCATGTGGTGAGGCAGAGAGAATGCCCAGCCGATGATGCTGGTCCTGCCCCAGTCTTCAATTGCCAGAGAGAATTTTAGGTGATCAGGCAAATAGGGAGTCCTGAGACCCCGAAGGCACAAGTGGGAAAGTGACTCTGTGACCACAGAATTCCTTTTGATTCACAGGCTCAGGGTCATCAAGGTCTTACCACTGCCTGGTTCCCTCCAGTCTTGATGAAGCCAGGGCGAGTAAAACTGATATCTGAGAAGCTATCATCTAAAGCATAAGAGTACACAGGGCATATTAACACCAAAAGATCAACTCTGCTGGTGAGCTTTCCACGTGGAGTAACTCTTCTCTCCCAGAGGCCAAAAAACAAAGAGAAACAAATCCCAGTCTCCTGTGGGGGAGCAGACTTGGGTCACCTAAAGAAGACATGACTTTACTTATCCACCTGCCAATCCCAAAGCAAGCTCAGGGTCTCTGGGGTAAATGGTCCACCTCCAGTTACTTCCCAGCCACTGACAGTGGTAGGAGGCCTTAGCCCCACCACTGGAGGATTTGCCAGAAAGAGCTGTAAGGATGATGCACTCACGCCCAAGACTATCCGGCAAAGGGTGGTTATGATTTAAAATAAAATGGAAAATAACAAGTGTCAGTGAGGATGTGGAGAAATCAGAACCCTCACCCATTGCTGAAAGGAATGTAAAACAATACAGCTACATTGGAAAACACTTTGGCCGTTCCCAAAAAGTTTGATAAATTTGCCAAAATGTCTCGGCAGTTACCCTCTTGGGTATGGACATACTCAAGAGAAATGCAAATATATTTCTACACAAAATCTTGTGCATAAATGTTCATAGTAGCATTATTCATAAAGGCCAAAAAGTGGGAACAACCCAAATGTCCATCAACTGTTGAATGGATAAACAAAATGCGGTATGCCCACACAATGGAATATTATTCAGCCATAAAAGTGAAAGGAGTGCTAATATAGGTTACATACAACATACACAAACCTTAAAAAACATCATGCTAAGTGAAAGGATCCAGTCACAGAAGGCCACATATTATGATTCCCTGTATATGAAGTGTCCCAGAAGAGGCAAATCCATAGACAGAAAATAGATTAGTGGTTGCTTCAGGCTGGGGGAGGGGAGAATGGGAGTGACTACTTATGGGTACAGGGTTACTTTTTGGGGTGATGAGAATATTTTGAAATAACATGGTGGTGATGGTGGCACAACCTTGTGAATATACTCAACACCACTTAATTGTAAACTTTTAAATGGTTAATTTTACAGTATGTGAATTATATCTCAAGTTGGGTGAAAAAATGTCTGGCAACATTTTTGTGTGTTTTCCATAAAAGATATTTCAGTCAGAAAATAGGGTCAAAAGAGGGCAGAGAAACTGTTTGATGCCCTTCTAAAAACCAGCCTCACAAAAAGGTAAGATAGACACTAATTCACAGCAGACAACCCTTCGGGCCAGTGGAAGAGCTCCAGCTTCCAAGATTGATATAAATTCAACTCAGGGTCCCTTTTTCTATGGCCATTATTATAATGACAATGTCAGGTCCTCAAGAAACAGCCAGTTCTGTTCCCTGTTCTCTGGTCTCGCCCTTAACAGAAGGCAGGTATGCAGAAAGCTATGGGAAAACCTCATTTTCCAAAAATTATGAATGAGCAGTCCCTACAGAGCATGGGCCCCATGAGAAAGTAGCTCTGGCGTAGGGCTGCCGGGAGCCAAGGTCACTCACTCAGGATTCACCTCAGGTCTGTACTCCCACACTTCACCACTGGGACCCCAAAGTGCAGCCTTATGGTAAAGGCCAAAACCCTTCAAACCAGCTTTGATGTTCTGAGGGCTGGGCTTAAACTACAGATCTATTGATGGAGAATACAAAGGAATATGTAGACTGAAGAGCCTTTCAGAAATCACCCGTATCTGTTGTTTCTCTGAGCAGGGTTTTCAATAAGCAGTGAGCAGCAAAGGAGATTGAGGTTATGTCCCTGACAAGTGCCTGGGGAGTAGATTTATGCTACTCCTTCACACCCAGTGCACACACTCCAACACACTTCCTCATAACAGAACTTTTTAATGTGATTAAACACCATAAATGACCTCTGCAATAAAACAGCTGCTGGTACTTAGATGTCACTTCCATGTGCCAGAGCAGTTCTAAGAGCTTTACACATACTATTTGATTTGCTCTCATAACAACTCTGTTCTAATAAATAAGAAAATAGGCACAGAGAGGTTATGTAACTTGCACAAGGTCACACAGCTTATAAGTAGCAGAGCTGAGATCGGAATCTAAGCAATCTGGTTGTAGAGTACAGACCTGTAACTCTACTGCTGCCTTTGTGAGTACGAAATTAACTACTATTGCTACTGGGGAATTCTTACCTCCAAATCAGCTATATGTAGCCTCTATCCCCACAAAGCTGTCAGATCACAGTGAAAGGCATGGCTTCTTGAGAACCTGGCAAGTGAGGGATGTTCTCTAAAGCTGAATACCTCAGAACTATCTACCTGCTACCTTGGAAAGGATTCCACCAATGGGTATCTCCTCTATGTGCACGTGCGCATGCACGCACACACTATTTGGAAGGCGTTAAGAAAAGAATTCTCTATCGCCTGTGTTCAAAGTGTAGAAAGGCTTGGTCACATGCATTACTTTGGGTCCTGAGCAGAGTGGCAGGGTCTAGAGTCCAGTAAGCCGTCAAGAAGGCTCTGGTGGTGGCGGTGTCTTGGCCCTGATGGTTGATGGTGCCTATTCTCTGATAGCATCATCTCTTCCCTTCTTCTCCTCCACCTTCACTAGACCTTAAAGGTTAGGGGAGTGGACCGCACTCCCTACCTGGGGGATGTAGCTGTTGTTGTGCATCCTGGGAAAAAAGAGATGGGAACTCCGCTGGCAGACACTCCTACCCGGCCTGTTACCCGACACGGGGGCATGAGGGACCTTCATGAATCCAGCTTCAGCCTCTCTGGTAAGAGCAAGGGCCACTTGTTCTGGCATCTGCATCTTCACCACAGTGGAGTGGCAGGAGGAGGGCAGAGGGGCCAGGGACCTCACCCAGGCGGTGGGACTAACGGTGCTTTCCTCTCCAGCTTCTCCCTCCCTTCCCAATCCCGTGTCTGGTGATGAGCGCTAGGTCCCAGGTTAGACACACAAATACGGGGGGGCTGGGCAGGAGGGCTCTCTCAGTCCCTGGGCACCCGCCACTGACAGGCCATGGCCCTTCTGGGGCTTTCCCCAGGATTTCTAAGTTCAAATATTTTCATCCTCTGACACATAGGGGTGCCCCAGAGATGATCGGAGCTCAGAAAGGCTAACTGTGCTATATGGGACTGCACCCCCATTTCCTACCCCCTCCTCGCCAGCATCTCTGAAAGGCCTGGTGCTTCCGCTCCACCCTTTCCTCCCTGACCTTATCCCCACGTTTGCTCCTCTGTCACCTTCTCTTTTGCCAGGAATTGTACTGTGCGTCTTACAACAGATAATACATGGGGTGCGTCTGTGCTCAGGGACTTGGTTGCTGACAGCATGTATCCCAGGGGCTCCTCCGGAGTTAAAGGTGGCGAGATCATTGCTGCATAAATGGCAACCCTGACTGGAGAATAGGCAGAGGCTGTAAGATGCCCTGGTCCTGCAGGAAACAGTGACCTGGACTTGAAAGGGGCAGGGGCCGGGTCTCCCAGAGTGGCCTTCAGGACTAGCCCAGGTGCAGACCCGCATTCACTCTGCCAGAGCTGTGCCGGGTGGGGAGGTGAGAGGTGTGAGATCCAGGTCCTTCCCACAGAGCCTGGCATTTGCTAGGGTTGATGAGATGGCAGAGAGCGAAACCAGAGGGGTGCCAGGGGGCGGGACTGCCTGCTGAGCTCCCTCTGTGCCCAGCTGCGCCCGCAGCAGCTCACATGGTTCCTGGCCGAGGAGCTGACAGCCTGTGGGGAGGGGTCCCTTCTACATCCTCTCAGAGCCGACCTCATTACAGAGATAACTCCTCCCCACCCTGAGGGCCACTGCCACTCCCTCCAGCGACAGGACCAAGTGCAGGGAGTCAGAAAGGGATCTATGGTGTGGAGTGTCGGTGGGCACCCGGCCCGACCAGTCCAGGAGGTGTAGCTCCTCATAGCTGCCTGGGCACGGCCCTTCCTGCAGCAGCCAGCCCCAAGAGAAGCAGCGACCCCCTCCCTCCCCGCCGCTCAAGCCACGAGCCCCCTCTGGCTGGTGGCTTCTTCTGCTGCCTCCCAAGTCGCCGGGCAGAGCCAAGACCGGGCAGAACTGCTCTCCGACTCCGCAGGCATCAGGCAGCCTCTCACCTTCCCTCTGCCCCAAACCTTGTCTGTTCTAAATAGGACAAGCTGATGAATGTCCCACTACACTCCCTGGGGTACCAGGCCTCCTCTTCTAAGTCTTGGGATTTCAAGATGTGGGGGCCTTTAGGGTGGTGTTCTTAGATTTTCCAAAACAATGGTACACCGTCCCTTCTTACTCTCTTGCTCACTGAGGCTTATGTACAAAGGGCTACTTGCCAACAGACCGATCTGTATGTGTGACAAGAGACCATAGCTCCAGGGCTGGGAGCAATGAAGGTAGCATAGCAAGGCAGTTAATCATAGAGGCTCTGAATCAGGAAGACCTGGGTTCATATTCAGGCTCTATCACTTATACTCTGTGTAACATTAGACAGGTTACCTAACTTCCCTCAGTTTCCTCATCCATAAAATGGGATGGAGTTGCGTGAAGGATTAAATTAGATCCTCTACGCGGAGGACCATGGTTTTATTACCCAGTCTATAGCCGTCGAGCTCACCCTCTGCCTCCTTCCCTGCAGGTTCTCAGATCGATGACCATGTTCCAAAGCGAGCCTCAGCTCGGATCCTCGCTCCCCCCGGAGGCAGGTCGAGCGGCATTTGGTAAAGTCACCGACCAGCCCCCCAAGTGAAGAGGCATCGCTGCCACCAGCCCGCACACCCTCCAGCCACAGCTGCAGGGGGCGGGAGAGTCTGGGCTGGGCAGCACACCACCTGAGGGGGCCACGGGACCCGGGGAGCCCTCCCCATGTCTGACACGTGATTCACTGTGCTTCGAGCCAACCCTAACAGGCACTTTGAGTTGTGTTCCTCCTGCTGCAGTCCTTTCCTGCCTTGGCCTTGGTGGGCTTTTCTGGGGCCCAGGAAGCCCATACTATGCACAGAGCCCAATGCATAGAGCCTGGCCCAGCCCCTCCTCTCACACCCGTCTCCACATACTGGCCTTGGGAAAGCCTCGACTTTAGTGCCCTGCCCCTGGCTGACTGCCAGTTGTCCAGAGCACTTTAGCAAATATGTTTTAAAAGCAAAGGACTCCCTCTCCCATCCCCTTCGGCCCGGTGGTCACTTTTCCCAAGTCAGACAGGTGTTAGCATCCCAGCCATGCCCAGAACGCCCCGTTTTTCCCAGCTCACCTCTGGCCCTTGTGTGGGTGTGGCTGGGACACTCTGCGCCCTTTGCTGGCTGCTTCCTCCCTGCCCCCCGGGAGTCCCAGGCCCAGAAGGGCTAGCTGGGTGGGCATGAGGCTGGTGCCAGGCGCGTGTACATGATTTCGTTTTGCACGTTTGGTTTGCGCAGTGGTTTGGTTTGACTTGTTTGTGCATCCTGTGAAAAATGATGGTGCTTCGTGTCACTAGCATAGCATAGAAACAGGAGTAGATGTGGACCTTAGGAGATGCTGCATCGACACCAACCAGACAGCCTAGGGCACAGATGAAGGGGGCAAGAGGGGGACACTGGACTCAGGGGCCCTTCTCCCAACCTGGAGTCTTCCAGTCCCCTCCTCTCCCCTCCTGGTCTAGTTTCATGCATCTGAGAGGGTGCCCAGGATGCTGGCCCTGGAAAGCTTCAGGAGCGGGGTGGCTCTTCCCATCTCACTCCCAGAACTAACCCAGCTGCCTGTAAGCTTCCCCCTGCTGGACAGAGGCCCAGCTGCTCCTCCTGTGTGATTGGCTAGAGGCCTCATGCCTGCTAAGAGAGGGGGAGCGATTAGGAGCAATGGGCTAGCTAGACGCTCGGTAGGAGCCCAGACCAGTGAGACCTGGCTGTAGAGCCCAAAAGACCCCCTTGCTGCATAGGAGCTGGGGTCTCCTGTGGTTAGCACCTGGCCCTTCCCTGCCTGTGGGCTGCATGTCCTCCCACGTCCAGTTGGGCACCCCTGCCTCAAAGCTCCAGGAGGTTTCCGTGGAAACACCAGAGGGGATGTCATGTTGCGTGTTTGGTTCAAGAACCGGGCTTACACATGGCTCCTGGACTCTTGGGCCGGTAGTTGTACCCTGCACATTTCTGCTGTGCTTTTCAGGTTTTCAAAGCCTTTCCATATATGAGCTCTCAGTTGCTCCTCATGACAACATAGCACGTATTATTCTCCCCATTTCACAGATGTGGCCCGGAAAGCTTAGGCCTTCTGACTCCAGAAATGTCCAGGACTGCCCTTAAGAGCTTGGGCGTCTACCCCAGCTGTGGAAAGGAGGCATGAAGTGATGTCTCCTGTAGATCCCACCTGAGCATTTGACCAACTAGAAGACTTACTCCCCCCCCCAGCAGGCATTCTGCTTCATTTTGCACAAGTAGATTTTTCTTGTAAACAAACTAATGCATATTCACTGTTTGAGCCAGAACTAGTTAAATGTTGGAGGCTTGCCATGTGTTTGAGCTGCCTCCACATCTTCACTTCTCCTTTCATGCTCCTCTTCCTCAGTTAGAGGCCAAGAGGACACAGACGGTCACCCAGGGAGCAGAGGCAGCAAAGGCACTCGTGGAGGGTGGTGGCCATGGGGACAGTCGATAGGGATCTGAGCCCGGGAAATGTGATGCTGACCCCTTGGTACAATGCACATCATCTTTCTCCCTTTCAGCCCTTGCTGGGTCATGGGCCTTGGGCAGATGCCAAAGAGCTGAGCAGTGGTAGTGGCCAGCGGGCACTGCATCCCTGCTTGGGCTAGGAAAGCTTTACTTTCTCTGAGTGCCTCTGCTGGAGAGATGCATGGTCCGTGGCTCTGGGAAACCACATCTTGATGTGGTCCATCGAAGGCCTTCCACTTCATTCACCCCCGATCCTTACATAGACCCCTACCCTTGTCCAGGAGCTTCTAGATGAAAAGCAGAAGGAGGTTCAAGGAACCAAATGAACGGTCAGCCCCCACCACCCATTCCCTGCCCCTGTGCAGAGCACCAGCCAGCACCATCGCCAGCCCCATAAGCTCCTGGTTGGAATGAGAAGGGTCTCTGGTTGCACTGAATGCAGCTCTCAAACTGGTCTTGTACTTGCTGAATAAATACTGTTGTTCTTGCCTTAGCTGCTCTCTAGGTTTGTGGGGTTAAGTTTCCAGAAAATTGTGCTACCGTGTGTGCGTGTGTGTGTGCGTGTGTGTAGTGCTAGGAGTCCACAGTAGGTCTCAGTCCAGCCAATGCCACGATCAGGGCTTTTCCAATACTGACCCAGAAACCACAGAACCACACGGAAACCCAAACCCCCTCCAGCGGCCCAGGTGGCAGGCACAGCCTGGAGTCGGGATGGAGCCTCCAGCACCCAAGTGACTTCCTCACTCCTCTGTAAATGTCATGGTGCTAAGATTGTGTCAGCCCCCAGAAGACACATGGTCCTGTGCTTTGGCCACCCGATTGAGGCAAAAACAAAACAGCCCGACTCGTTGTGTTCTGGTGCAGGTTTGTATTAAACTGTAGCTACTTCTCACTCGGTCTCAGTTGTATTTATTCAGGGAAAGAGTTCGGTAGGGGACCTCTTCTCCAGTGGCTGGAGTTGCTAAAAAGACTCAGCTTTGGTTTTTCACTCATGTAGGGTGGCAGGGGGCAGCTCCCTGGGAGGCCTGAGCAGAGTTTGCAGATTAATAGTTGAGAGATGGGAGCCTCAGGGGCCTAACAGCCTCCTCTCTCCTAGTGGGGAAAAAACAAGGTTTTTGATGCCAGAGTTCCCAAGACAAGGTTGCTTGTTATCTGAACAGGAATAGATACAAAAGGAGGGGAAACTAGGCTTTCCCCAGCTACCCTTTGTCACCTACTCTCTTGGCTACCATTTTGGAAACCCATAGCTCCCTCTTCGCACTGGATCCCTTGGCTGATGGAAATATGGTCTCACAAAAAAGCATATGACAAAGGACTGTCCCGAGGTCAACGTGTCTTTGCAGGACATTCAGTCCTTCTCTGGCTCCCCAGAACCCCACCCTTTGGATTGGACCACTGTGCCTTCAGACCCTTCCACTGGCATCAGAACTAATCGGCCTTCTTGCTGGAGCTCAGCCACAGGTGGGCAGGTTACCTGATCAAACACTTTCACACTAAAGAGTGAGGAAAACTGTTGCTTCCAGTACTGTGGGGTCATTTGTACTTTTTTCTTAGCCCTCAAAAACAAAATCTTCGTGAGGGAATTTTAGGTAGAGTGGGGAAAATTTCCCAGCTCTCACTAAATAAGCAACCATTCTACCAGTAAGTCAGGCCATGACCAAAAGAAATACCCAGCACCCTGCATTTAGGGCACAGTGCTTGCTATAATGAAATGAGCCAATTATATAAATGTGTATAAACTCTCCTGGGGTCTCTGAGCCAGGGGAAACTCCATTACCTGGCTGGTGAAGGAGGCTGAGTCCCTGGGATGGTACTAGGCTGAAGTTTCTGTGTTACCCTCTTTCCCCATAACCTGGGAGCACACCAGAATTTGGTTAACTGCCAAAAATCCCTTGTAAGTGTTTGAAAAATGGCATGGCTGCACATTTGACAGGCCACATGCATATCATCAGGTGATTTATGAAGGAAAAAAATAAAAGATACCCAGGAAGACACTGGTTGCCTTTGTACACATGTAGTTGTGGAAAAACAAAAGACCACAGACTCAGACTTTAAAGGAAGGCTTAATCGTTGATAATCTGCGTTTGGGAAAAGCTGAACCAGCCAGTACCTAGGTAACAATCACCCTCAATTTCTTCACCAATTACAGGCTGACTTTAAGATACAGGTACAACCTAATACTAAGAATTGCCTTGCCGTTGGTGGAGGAGGAAGTGTCTCATGACACCCACGGTATGAAGAAGAAACCTCATGATATACTGGGAGGTAGACCTTATGGTCCTAAGTTAATAAAAGGCTATTTGACAGTGTTGCTGATTACACATCTGAAAGGACTCAGTACTTTTCTGGTAAAACATTACAGGATCTAACATTTTGTTGCTACTTGGTACCATCTTATGATGATGGAAGCTGAGTTATTCCCCTTTTCCCCACATGTATCTATAAACCACATGTGTATAGCTACAAGGATCTTGTCCGGATTTGCCTAGGCAATCTTGGTTTACGTCTATTGCCCCAGAATAACTATTAACAGTGCTCCCTTTCACTTTCAAATGTGTCCTGCTTTGGACAATATATGATCACCTATGTATGCCTATATATTCATTAAACTATTGATATACCTGTCAGGAGTCAAAAGTTTTTCCATCATTGCAAGATGAGGGGCAGGGCATGGTGGGTGGGGGAATGGGCCTTCTTCATGGGTGAGGAAAGGAGTTTTCTGTGACGATCCCTGAGTCTCCACACAGCCTTTGGAGGCCTTACCAGGTCTCAGTGGCTGTGGACGCAGCAGAGTGGTGAAGGCCTAGGACACCTTTCTAAGCTTTTCAATTTAGCTTATAGATCTTATTATTCCATTAAAAGTTGGAAGCCTAAAAATCTTGATCATTGTTAAATCAAGGTGATGAATACAGGGTGGTCCATTGTGTTTTCTCTTTTTGACTATTTTGGAAATTTTTCATAATTAAGAATTAAAATCTGGAATTTTGAAAACCTGAAAAAAAAAGTTGTAAGCCTACCAAATTTTATCATTTACTTTTAAGGAGACTTTGTTTGTAAACTTAATTAACACCTCTTACAACAGTTTAAACTACCTTTAAAATTCTGTTTCCTTTTTGAGTAACTTCTCTAAGTATTAAATAATTATTACCAATCTAATAAACTTATAAATATAGTGAGCTTAGAGGTTTATTGGCTGTTTTGCTGCTAAACATAAAGTTAGTAAGACTTTAGTTTAAATTCATGCCTTACATTTTATGTTTTAAATTTGTACTGAAGTACTCACTCTAATAGGCCAAAATTTTCCTTTCTAAGTACATAAACTACCAAATATGTGCAGATCCTCTCAATATAAAAATGTTAATACTATGAGTTTGCTCCTGTAAATTAAAGAGCAACTCACAGTGAAACACATTTGCTTATAGTGACGCCTATTGAAATTTCACTGTCTCCTCGCTGCCTCATGCTTTCATAGAATTGTTGGTTTTAAACTATCCTCTGAAGTGTTGCCATCTAGGCTTACCTCGACGGGAGTTGTTCCCTTTTGGTCAGTTCCAAAGATGCCAAGTTTTAAGACACTGGGGCAGTTCTTTTCAGTAGAGTAGACCCCTCCTGGGGTTAGTCTTTGACCACTTTACTGCTGGGGGAGCAGAAGCACTGGGGAACAATGTCTTCAGGGGAGGACAGTGGCATTTTGAGCCCCAAAGGAAAGGAGACTTTGGTGGCAGGGCCTTGAGGGCCTGTTCCTGTCTCACAGGTGTCCAACAGGATTCCAGGTGTCCACAGAAGGCAGGACTTGGAGGCTCCACCAAGGGTATTCTACGACAAGACACCACGCGTGGGGGCTGCTGAGGTTCATTCAGATGCTCAGCTGTCCCATGTCCAGGCTTCTATAGGAAATTCTCCCCAGTGTGGTCTGGTGGACAGTCAGAGCCTGTATTATTTTCTACATTATGAGGGTCTGAGCTTGTGCTTTGGAATCTTTTATAGTTTTTATTTGATGCCCATAAATGTGGTTTTGTCATTTCTCCTGAGTATCTATATGGGAAGCTATGAAAGGATTTTGCCTTTCTTCTGTAACTCTCACTTTCCCACAGCTCTCATGCCTTCATCTGGCATCGTGCTTACAGGAATAATCAGGGTGAAATTGTAATTTGGACATCTCCGCTATCCCAGTTTCACTTTTTTTTATTAATGAATTCAGTATATTCAGGTTCATAATGATTTAACATGATCTAAGTAGGGGTGGGGCTCCTTTCCAAACCCTTGAGCTGAAATAATTCATTAAGTCAGTCAAGCCCAGTGGTTTTCAACCAGGGGCAATTTCGTCCCCTAGTTGACATTTGGCAATGTCTTGACACATTTTTATTGTCAAAACTGGGAGGCTGGGTGCTACTAGAATCTAGTGAGTAGAGGTCAGAGATGCTGCTAAGCATCCTACATGCACAGGACAGCACCCTCAGTAAAGAACTGCCTGACCCAAAATGTGAGTAGCATCCAGCTTGAGAAACCCTGGTCTAGTGTAAGGGCGAAAACAGGACATTCAATCATTTTAAGAAATCATTTGGGAAAAATATAAAAGGTGGCGAGAGGTAGCTGAGTTTACTGATGCCTACGTTGTAGGTCAATGGTTTTTGGTTTTTTGTGTCTGGGAAGGGGGAGGTAATTACACATATTTATTTTTTTTTAGAGGAGGTACTGGGGATTGAACCCAGAACCTTGATGCATGCTAAGCATGTGCCCTGCCACTTGAGCTATACCCTCCTCACCATGTCAAAGCTTTTTGAACTAAAAACTCCCACTGGCTGAGCGGAACCACAGTATCCCCAGGCAGCAGAGGAAGGTAAGGAAGCTGCTGGGAAGGTAAGACATCAACGGATCTTACTATGTATATGCAGGGCCTCATCTGGCAACCCTCTGCCACCATTATCAGGGTCCATGTGGCGCCAGATTCTGCCATGACTACCTTAAAGTGTTGCAAGAAATAAAAGACCACAGTTGCAGGGTTTAAAATTAGCTTTGGTCATTTACTGAGCCTTGCATGCAGGGAAGAAGGAGGTTGAATCCTCACCAAGTGACAGCTCCATGACTGTCACATCTCAATTCTTTAACAATTGAAGCATAGGCTTTCTTTTATCCATGCATGTAAACTAAGACCCTCTCCCAGAATTGCTGTTTGGCCAGTAGAGATGGGGGGCTTCTTACAACCCAGGAAGGGGAAGAAAGAAGACCTCATGTTTCTCAGTTGGGAAAGGGAGGGTGAACATTATGGTTGTAAGGAAAATTCAAAAAGGCTATTTGAAGAAGTGACAAACTATACATCTGTAAAAAGGGAACAGGGTTTGCCCAGTAAAGTATTAGGGATGTATCTTTTTTTCTCAATTCAAATGCTTTGAGTGTAACAAGTATACAATGAAGTGCATATGGCGGTTTCCCGTTGTGCATATAAGGGGCTTAGTTGCTACTCCATCTTAACAAGTAAAAAGCTGAATGGACTGAAAAATCAGCAATGATTCTTGGATCTGTAAGAGAGGGAAGGACACAGGACAAATGGCCGCCCCCAACACTGGCAGGAGAGAGAGAGGCGAATAAAGTGGTAAGGATCATACTCCCTGATTTCAAAAGCTATTGTGAAACAGCAATAATCAAGACAGCACTACGTAGTGCTGGCATAAGGATAGACATAAGATCAATTAAATAGAACTGAGAGCCCATTAAAAAAAGACAACCCAAGTGTTTATGGGCAACTGATTTTTGACCAAGATGCCAAGATGATTTAATGGGGAAAACAGTGTTTTCAGCAAATGGTGCCTGGACAACTGAATATCCACATGCAAAAGAATGAAACTGGAATTTTATCTTATGTCATATATAAAAATTAACTCAAAATGGATC